GCCTCACCCTCTGAGATCTGCCTGAGAGGAAGGAAAGGAACCACTGCAAAGCAGTGACTCCAATTCCTAACTCCCTCAGGCGATCTAAGAGGATGGCATGATCTATGGTGTCAAAAGCCGCTGAGAGATCCAAGAGCACCAACAAGGTCACACTACCCCTGTCGATACTCAGGCGGAGGTCATCGATTAAATTTACCATTATGATTATTGTTCATATCTTATTGTCTGTGGTCAATGCTTACTTCAAAATCAATGGAAGGATTAATGAATGAATATACATTGAACATTTATTGAGTGTGCTTATTGTTAATACACAGAATTGAAGACAGGGAACATGGCAACTCTAATCTAATTCATACAGATGAGGCTGAATGATTTTGAGCTCCAATTGTACCATTTAAGAAAATATAATTTCTCTTCATCCCTTCCTTATTGATGTGCACTGAATATATTGCCAATTAGTAAAGGACCTATGGGTGCCTATTATAATGGTATTTTGCAATTTTGAATATTGATTCATTTAAGGAATTAGATGTTCTGGATATAACATGGTTTTAAAAGTATGCAGAGCTAATATGCTTTATATTTGTACACATCAGTCACATGGCATGTCCTTAATTTGCTTAATTTTCTTCCTTCCTTCATGAAAGTAAACTCCCTATAAGAATTTTCTAAAATGTCATAGGTAGATTTTGTGTGCAATTTTGTATATTGATTGATTTAAGGAATTAGATGCACTGGATATAGCATGGTTTAAAAAGTATGCAGCTATTAAAGTTAATATGTTTGTATACATCACCCACATGGCATTTCCTTAATTTCCTTAATATTCTTCCTTCCTTCGTAAAGGTAAACTCCCTATGAGAATTTTCTAAAATGTCATATGTAGGTTTTGTGTGTGTCAGACTGGAGATTGACAAATTTGTGGGAGGAAGAGGTGCCACCCAGGGAGAAGGCCAGAGGGAATCTGCAGTGCAGAAGCCTGGCCCACCAACTAAGGCTGCTGTGAGAGGAGGACTCAATGGTTCCCCTTCCCATCTCTCAG